TCTGACGCTTTCGTATTATGCATCGTTTCTCTTATTTTGCTATTGATACAAATTTTACTCGGCACTACATGTATTATTTGAAATTGTATTTAATGTTAGATTTGAAGAGATATATATATATATATTCTATGTATATTACTATTATATATTGTTGTACATATAATTCTACATATATAATATATAATAATATCGTACATTATATTCTATTATTCTCATCTAAGTTTTTAGGATAAAAAAGGATTGCGCTTTTCGCTTCAATCGGAATCGGCTATATTATTGGTGCTATGTGCAAGTTGCGGTTTATCTGACTTGCAAGTCTTCTTGGGTAACAAAGATTGATCGCACTCGAACGCGAAATTTGTTGCAATCGGGCCAGGCCGATCGGTTAATCGCTAATAGGTGATAGATAGGAAAATATTGATATCAAGCTTGAGCTATATAACACACGTACCACTGTCTAAAAATTTATCGTACGAGATATTTCCATAAATCATATACATATATATATATATATAATATAACATAAATATACATATATGCGTATTTATATACACACACGAAGCACTGCAACTTCCTTTTCTAGTACGTTTTAAACTACCGTTTTCATTCTCACAAGAAGACGCTACCTTTTTTATATTTTTACTAAAATGCGAACGCGGTGCGAGCGTACACACACAGCGGTGTAACCGCATCGCGTGCAAACACTAGACGAAAATTTCATCCAGGATGCTAGACTGAGCGCGCTGCTAGAAGGATTAGTCGTAATTCAAATTTCGTTCTTGAATTTTTCCCGTAACGCCCGAAATACAAGATGTGCATCGTGCGGTCGTTTATACGCTTGCTGCTCTTCGTGTAGTAGAATTATCAGCTGGTTAAGCCGCTGTCATCCTTCTTCGAAAGCTCAGCCAGTACAAAGGGGGGGAAAAAAAAATGAATGAACGAAATATCCCCGCTGATGGTGTTAATCGGCCCGTATGTGAATTAAGCGGTTTAGTTTAAAAACAATAATGCATTCATTTTAACGGCGTATGTGAAAATGTAATGGTTACCGTTGGAAAACTGTACACAATGCAATTCGGACAACGATATTTCGCAACTAATATTCTGTACAAATAACAACGCAGCGATCTATCGAGAAACTAAATGTTAGAAAATAAAATTCACATTCTCCAACAAACGAAATCTATTTCATTTTTCTGTATTTCGCGAGGAAACAATGCGAGACATTAAAATCTTACGCTGCGGGAGCAGCGTTCCGCCTGATAAATGATTCCGAATAAAAGAAATAGTTAAATGTGAAAATCTCACATTCGTCCCTCGGAAACTGACCGACTCAACCATCCCTTATAAAAGTCCCATTATTCCGGCTGTAATAATTAATCTCCTCCAGCACATAAAGAGAGGTGCCTTTAAGTTCCGCGTTTCACACGTTGGCTTGGTTCACTTTTGTCCCTCCGCCTCTTAGAATATTAATGGCTCTTCCCGGAGAAACAAAGGCACGAAGGCGATACGGCGAACTTTTAAAGCGATTAATATTCTAACTTTCGCCGCGTCCATTTTCACCCGCGATTACACGCATGTATTTCTGTTAAAATCGGCCGAACGTACGTTGATAAATGTATGACGTGGCGAATTTGCGTTGGCATTGTCGGCCGAAAACTGATCATCCTGTGCGAATCATGCGGCGTAATCGCGATGATGAACGACTTTCTTGCAGCGTCATGCAAAGTCGGATAACAATTTTCCAGAAAATTAACACTACTGTTTCACCAATTTCGAGTCATTTCGCGAAAATAACACTTATCCCATTTTCTCACCGGCATTAACTTTAAGACAGAAATATCGTAATTATGTTAAGTCTGTAAGATAGCTCGCGTTACACATTGGATAAGATTTTTGGAGTTCAAATAAATGATTTGTCAGTAAATCTATATTGATGCATTAAATTCGCCGACACATCGTTTCCTTTTGTCACACGCGGGTCTTTAGCTTGGTGTGCGATATATTGCGTGCGAGAGTTAGCCGCCGACGTCCAATGTTTTTTGCTCACTCGACGCAGCTGCAGCAGAGGTAGTGTAATATACATACATACATATTTTAGTGTTGCGTGTGCCTACTTCGTCTTATAGTTTGATACTATTGTATATACGCGGAGAACTGTACCTCGAGAGTCGCTGTAAAACACTTTAACTGTCAATTACATGGAGTTTTACGATATACACAAAACTTCGGCCAAACGTAAATACATATACATATATATATATGTGTGTGTATATATATGTATATGTATATACATTGTAGGTGTACGTGGTGACGTAACGTACGCGTATAGTTCAGTACATATAAATGTGAAATGTATATGGCCTGTGCATAATTCTAAATTAGATATCGTTCTCGAAGTAATATCCGTAGGCCTATACGTACATATGTAATCGGCGAGGAGAGCCGGAAGCGTAACTCGAGCCCAAACTGCAAGAAAATCAGTATGAAATTACAATTATTATAGTGGGAGGTTTTCGGATCTCAATTTGTCATACGTGTAAATTTCCACGCGAAGCGTAAACTCGCGGCTTGCAGGTGAAGTTAATTTTTGCTGTAAATTTGCATACGTGTGAAAATTTATACCCCTGTAATAGCTGATCCCAAAATTGTTCTATAACAATCTTAATTTTGTACGAATTTTTTTACAGTGCTGCGTGTCGAGAGAGTTATTACTTCTAAGAGTACATCGGGACGGGTAAAATACTGTCTCGTCCGCTAATTAAATGTAGATAGTACACTCTGCAAGCTCGTACCTAGAACGCTAGTGTCTCGTATTTTATATTTCGGATCTTCTTCCGGTTGGAAACATATAGGGTGTAACTTAATATGCAGACTTGAGGGATGGAAAACAATCGCATAGGTTCGTATCCCGCATATGTATCGAGTTTCCCACTGTATTCCGTATTAAATTACACCCTATATATATATATCGCGAGAAATTGAGTACGAATTGTACCATACGTTGGTATTTTTTTAAATATTAGCCTTTAATTACTTTTTAGAATAAAATTCTGGCTTGCGAATCGGATAAAACCGCTAGAGATTCTGGGTCTGACAAACCACAAAATTTATTACCAGAAATCAGAGAGTACTTACTGTCGCGCAAGAAAATAGTTATATCTTTACGAATCCCCAGATGGTCTGTTTGAAATTTTCACAGCGACGTCGTTCCGTTTGAGGGGACCTTGCGTTTTGTAAAAGATATCTCGAAATAGTATTTTACTTGTTCACGATTGCACGTATGTAACCGTTCATCGTAATAATTCAAATATAGGGTTGAATGATATTAAACGAATTATTAAATCAAATGGTAATTATACAATATTTCAAGCGACGTTTCTCTTATTAATGCGCTCTCGATCCTTTGTAGTTTAAAGTTCCAGTTATTATCCCCAACATCCATTAAGCAATGAGATAAGTTTTAGAGTTTTTTTTTTTTTTTATACACCACTGTATTTTATTTAATCCGGTACATTTATTTACAGTATAAAATGATTATATAAATAGTGTAAGAACATCGAGCGTACAGCTAAACGTGCACCTTTCCATGCGCACCAAATTACATTATTATGCAATACACGTATACAGCTATGTTTTTATTTAAAAAATTCGCTTGTGTGTACATGGATTATACTGCTCTAAATCGATTTCTAGTGATCGGCTGATAACGTCGTATCAGAAAAATATAAAAAGTTATGGTTTTTTTTAAACTTTAATGGAATATAAAAATATTAAGTTACATCGATGCGTGATGCTTATAAATAAATTCTATATTTATATATACTTATAAAATGTAGACATGTGTGCTGGGCGGCATTAATCTTGTTGAAAAAAAATCTTACTTATTATCTGTTATTGATAATAATCTAAATATGACAGTTTTTAATAATTGATTCCAGCTGTTGAAAATAACTTGCGAAATTCGGAGCGCAGAATCTATTATATATCTGCTGCTGTACTTCTGTAGCAATTATTTTTGCTGTGCTTTATAAGTAATTACTTAAAAATTCACTTCGTAAAAGATTGCAAAAGTTCTCCGCCCAGGAGTTAGTACTGAAAATTCTATCCTATGGGATTCATATTTACAATACCTCCTAGCGTTCGTTAGTGTTGATTCCGATTTCGCGGAAAGTAACGACGAGAAATGATTTAGAGAACGATCTCGTACGCCTTCAATAAATACAATAGTACGCTTCACGCTAATAAGACGCTTCTAATTATTACAGTGTCTAATTCGCGAAACTTGCTTTTGGTATTTTTTTTTTTTTTTCTCTTTTACGAATAACATAGAAGTAGAGGGAATGAAGAATATATTGACCGCAGGACACGGGCGGGTCAAATAATTTGCCTTTTCTCAGATATTGCAATGTCCTGCGGAGTTTTCTTTGCGAGAAAAAGCGCGGCTGCTCTTTCCGTTAATTTCATTGAGCAGCGGCGCTTCTTTGCGGACATTTTTATTTAACATTTTTTTTGGTATGAAAAACATTTAACGGTTAGAAATGCTTTTTCTCTAAGTATCTACAGGGAAATGTACTTGAAATGATGACAGTGCGTGGAAGGATTTAATGCGCCTCGAGCGTTTTAATTTTTCACAGCGGAAATGACGGTGCGATGACAATAATTTAGAAGTGAAAATAGGTTTCGCAAGATTATTACGGCATAATAGATGAGTCTCTCGAAAGATTTTTCTACGTTTGAAATGCGAATTGCGTAAAGCTGATGTTTTATGTATCCTCGCCAATCCCGAGAGTACCTTGTGTGGCGAATTAGTGATTTTTTTATGCACATAACTGTGTACTAGAATCAAATGAAGCTGTTAAAGTGATGAGTTTCAGATTTGTTTGCATAAAAACTTTGCATAAAAATGTTGAAATTTAATTTTAACATCGTAATAACTAGTAATGATTTAATTTTCGAAGAAATTATATAGTTTACACATATTTGTTTTCACATAACTTATAATATTTCTGGACATTTGAATTTATCAATTAATTGCCGTAACAATATGTAAACTATCGTCCATTATTTGCGTTTGTCGATGCAGTTTTTAATAAATGCAATTCCGTTTGCAGGATTAAACTTCAAATCTATACGGTGTAATGATCACATGCTCGAATATTTGTTTTAAACGAGATTTGGCCGAGAAAAAAATAACCAAATTATATTCATGGAAATGCGAGATCCGACGAGGATACATAAAATACAATTTAATTTATTCGAAGCGTTTAATGTTAAATGCTTCAAATAACATAATAGTCGGAAAAAATGTAGATTCTTTTGTGACGCAATTTTCCATATTTTTCGTCGAAAAATACAAATTGGGAGGAATACTTTACCGGAAAATATCGGACTTTCAATATCTTCTCGCAGGAAGCTCATAAATTCTCCCACAATCTTACGTCGCTTTTCCGGGATTATCGATTGTACGATTCGGCGGCAATCTGCCCGCGGCGGAGCGATCGCCCTCGCGCCATCAATTCGTCCCCGAGCCATCAATCAGAATTCTTCTTCGACAGCTCCTGGAAGAAGGCCTCGATGGGCAGCGTCGGCTCGTCCGTGGCGATCTTGAAGTGCGACGAGACGTGCCGGCTCTCCGGCGAGACCGCCTTGAACATGCCGGGCTTGTCGTAGAGAGCGGACGCGGAGCTCGTCAGATCCGCCACGCTCTGCGACGCCTTGGCGAACAGCTCCTCCTCGTCGTCGCGCGCGTCGAGCTCCGTCGTGGCCTCCGCGGCGTCCGCATCGATCTTACTTCCGTTCGCCGAGCTTTCCGATTTCTCGCCGCTGGAGATCTGATCGCGATCGATCGCTGCTTCCGGGTCCTCGTCTCGCGAGGTTATCTCAATTTCATGACCCGCGTTCTGCGCGCCGAATTTCACCGACTGCTTGTCGCGCGACGACGCGTCGGCCTTCCCGCCGACGATCTCGTTGCCCACGAGACGCGCCGTCGACGACGACGACGAGGCGGCGGTCGTCATGGTCGAGTAGAAACTCGTCTCCTCGGCCGCCATCTCCGTCGGCTCCTCCTGCCGCTTGCTCTCCGGATACGTGGTGACGGAGTGCTCCCTGTGCTGCGTTTGCAGCCTGCTCTTCATCACCGGCCGTCTGCGTATCGACGACGAGTACACGTTCTCGGGCCGCGCCGAGCTCTGTCGCTGCACCGTCGAGCTCGTCTCGCTGTTTATCTGCGACCGCGTCGGGCTGGTCGTCGTGGACGCGATTCTGCTGCGGTAGACGTTGCTGCTGATCGGCCGCCTCTTCGGCACGAACCTGTTGCTCTTCTCGGTCGTCGAGTCGCTCGCGCCCTCCTCCGACAGTCGCTCGTGCTCCCTCGGCGACGACGCGCTGGTCGTCGTTCGATAGCTCACTCGGGAAACGTACTTGTATCTGCCGGTCGTTTCTCTCACCGTGTCGGCCGACTGCTGCTGCTGAACCGGTTGGCCCTTCGCGCTCTGCGACGCTCTCTGCTTCGTGCGCGTCAGCGGGGCGTCGACGGGCGTCGGCGCGAGCTCCGTCGTCGTGCCCTGCGACAGTCGGCTCTTGTAATCCATCCGGCTCTTGTAATCCTTGATGCTGAAGCGCGGCCTGGTGGCGTTGCCGTAACGCAGCGGCCGGTTGATCTTGTGCGACCGCGGCGTCGACGAGGCCGCTTGAGTCGTCGTCGCCGGCGCGGCGGTCGTCGTCGTCGTCGTCGTCGTCGTCGTCGACGCGAGCGTCGTCGCGCGATCGTAGTAATTGCCGTCGGTCTTCACGTAAAGCTCCTCCAGCGGTATCGCGGTCACGATGTTCACGTTCTCCCTCGGATTCTCCGCCTTGTCGCGGCTGATCTCCGTGAAGTATTCCGCTTGAACCGGCGCCGTCGTGTCCTCGCGCTGCTCCTCGCGCTGCTCCTCGCGCTGCTTCTCGCTCTGCTGCGAGGAATAATCGTGATACTGATTGATCGACGGGTTCGTCGCGTACTGCTCTCCCGCCTGACTCGTGCCGTACGAAACGCTCGGCTGGTTCGTCGCGAACTGATTATTCTCGTCGTAGCTCGCCGCGGGCTCCGTCGTCTGCCCGTACGAGGTCGGCGCGCTCTCGGTGACGATTTGCGCGTCGTACGAGTCCCCTTGGTTCACTCGCGTGCGATAGTTCGGCCGTTTCCTCGTGCCGCCGCGCTTCTCCGCGTCCTCGCTGTAGCCCGTCTGGCCGGCCGGTTTCACTCGCCTCCTCCGCGACGGATCGTACTGACTCGACTGCTCGTCGCCTCGGTACTTGAGGAAGTCCTCGTCCGCGTAGGACACCGTGACGGGCTCCTCCGTCGTCGTCGTGGGTTTTCGTCGTCGAGCCGGCACGCCCGGCCGGCGACTTCTCGGTCGTTGCGTCGCCGGCAGCGTCTGCGTTTCCGGCGCCTCGGTCGTCTGAATCGGCACCTCCTCGCCGTGTAAAGTCAACGGAACGGAAGTGTCCGGCAGTTGGCTCGGCGGCTCCGTCGGCGTGTCGTACGCGATCGTCGTCGGTTTCTTCCGGCGGTACGGATCGCGCAGTGGCTTCTGCGGACGGTACGGCCGCGTCTCGGTTTGAGGCTCGCGATAATCGACCTGTTGCTCCTGGTACTCGTTCGGGTAACGTTGCTGGTACTGATAATTCTGGTTCGCTGGACCTTCCGCAGCTTGGGGTATCTATAACAGAAAGTTTTTCAAATCCCGTAGAAAGTTGAGATTAATCCGACGCTCAAAGCATTATTGATTCGTAAGATTGTTTCGGCAAAAATTTTATACTTTTAATTAGTGTGTCGTAAGTTGGTATTTAAAACAGGTTAATGAAAGCTAATTATGTTTATTAACTCTGTTTGCACACTGGATGTTAAATTCTATTCAATATTAAGTTAGAGAGCGAATGGATAGTCAATTGTTAATCCTTCCACCTCTGTGATTCCATTTGGAATTATTAATTTTCTCGTGTTTATAAAAATATTTCAACTGCAATTTTCGATATTTGATAACTGAGCTAGTATCAGCAATCAACAAGTCATACAGTGATATGGAGAATTTTATTTCGATGGAAAAAATGCAAAAAAGATTAATAAATATCATTAATTAACTTTTATTGGTTTATTTTAATTGTGAATAATGGTTTATGGTTATAATAAAGAAACTTAAATTTCTAAAACAATTTTATGAGAATTAATATTGCGTTTTCAGCATCAATTTATTTTAATATATTGTAAAAAATACTTTCTCCACAATAAAACCGTTAAAAGAATCTTCTGAATCAATATTGGTTTTTCGATGCCAATTTACTCTTGAATCATGAAAAATAATTCAGCATGTAATAAGTAAAACCGTCAAACCGTGAAATTGCGTCTAAAAGCGAAGAACTTTCGGATCTAACATATCTTTCGATTATTTACAATCTAAAGATTCTGTTACGCGAATTATTCGAGGCACGCAATGCATGTGAAAGCAGAGTGGTGAATTATGAAACAATAGATTACTTGAGGCTGAAGTTTTAGCTGCTCGAGATTGTAGATCCCAACATCCGCCGGCACCAGAATATTAACGTCCGTGGTGACCTGCTGCTCGTATTGCGCCAGTTGAATCGTGTACGGCATCTCGCCCGCGATCTTCACGATCTCCTGCGACTGGTTCTTCGCGGACTCCGCGGCCAGTCTGGCCGCGTCTTCCTCCTCCTTCTCTCGTTGGAGGAGCTCGTTGAGCTCCTCCTGCCGTTTCTTCAGCTCCTCCTGCTGCTGCCGCTCGAGCTGCAATTTCTGCTGGCGCTCCTGCTCGGCCAGCTGCTCGCGGTCGCGCTGCAGCAGCTGCTGCTGCAGCAGGAACTGTTGCTCGTTGAAGTGCTTCAGCGAGATGCTCTCGGGCGTCTCGTAATCCGGCACCGACGTCGGTCGGTAGACCTCGACAGGCTCGAAGGAGCTCTGCGGCCGCTGGTACACGATCTTCGGGATTTGCGTGATCTGATTCTGGCTGACGACGGCCTCCTGGCTGAACTTGCCCGGCGGGCTCTCCCGCGGCAGGACCTCGTTAATGTCGGACGTGTACTTGCTCTTCGGCCACGTCGGCGGCGTGAGATCCGGCTGCTCGGACACGTAGTACGTGCCGGTCGTGCGGGAGTTCGGTAACTCGGTTTGCCCGCCCGCTTTGTCCTGCTTGCCGCGCGCGCCCAGCTGCTCCGTGCGCTTGAAATCGCGCTCCGCGACGTCGGTCTGGCCGTACTTATTGACAGGATTCCGCGTGACGGCGGCGGTGGGCGTAGCCGGCGTCGAGGGCGCGTAGACCGCGGGCGGCAGAAGATTCTCGTACGGCAACGACGGCCGGAAGCTGTACGCGCTGTACGTGCCGGGCGGCGTGACGTAGCTGACTTCGTGACTCTCGTGCACGAGGAACGCCGGGTCCCGCTCGTACGTCGACTTGAACGACTGGCCCGACGGATGATTCACTTGGCTGTAGAAATTGCCGCTGCTCGCCGAATGCAGCACCTGCGCGTTGTGCGACTGCGGCTGGAGACGGCCGTCGTAGGAGTCGCGATCGCCGATCTTCTGCTTGCCGAAGTCGCCGGGGACGTCCGCGCCGGGCGGTTGGAAGAACGGCTTCGCGTTGTTGTTGTTGTTGCTGTTGCTGTTGCTGTTGCTGTTGCTGTTGACTTTCAGCGACTCGAACGGCTTCGCCGCGACCTGGCGCGGTGGCTGCAACGCCTGCGGCATCGCGTAAGACGACACGTACGGCCGGTTGTTGGCGAGATGCGTCGACGGATTCGTCGTGGACGCGTAACCCTTGATGAAGTACGTGGCGGCGCGCACCGGATCGGACGCCGGCTGCTGATAAACGCTCGCCGCTGGCCGCAGGAAGTTCACGCCGTCGCGCAGAACCGGCTTGCGGTGTTGGTTCAGCTCGAAGCGGTACGCGTCCTTCGGCGGCGGTATCAGGAACGTGTACTCCCGCGTTTCCGAAGCGTGCTTGCCCGGCGTTTTCGTCTCCCCGCGCGCCTTCGTCGCCGCGTGGCCGAACACTGTGAAGCTGCCGAGTATGCTCGGCGGATTGTACTCGCGTATCGGCGGCTCGCCCTTGCGGAACGAGCCGTTCGAGCCGCGCACCTTCAGCTTCTCCGAGGTCGCCATGTGCTCCTGAAACTTGCTCAGGACAGGATGCACCTGGACATTCTTCTTCAGGTGGCTCGACGGCGACACGTTCGTGCCGATCGTCTCCTCGTACGAAGTCGTCAGCGGCCGCCAGCCGTTTGCGATCATCGACGATCGCGTCGGTGGCTGCGAATTAAACTTGAATTTTATGCCTTGACTTCAAGACCCAAAATTTCGACATATTTCACGCGTGGGGAATAAGTTTCTGCAAATTTATTTGAATTTTTTATCCAGTTTTATTTTTCAATGCACTTCTCTCGACAATTAGACGCTTTTTGATTTCTCGAACAAATTTTTTTTTAATAAAGCTATCGAATTGCTGAAAGAAGTGTATTAAGAAATATGTTAATTAGAATAAAAATGTTGCAATAAATAAATTATTTTTCAACAACTTTGCAGAAATTGTTTAACTTGTACTTGTACAAACTTTTAAACGATTGAAACGTCTTGCGTTCTTGATTTTAAGACAGCATTCTAGATAATATTTATAACGTGCAACTTAATATCTATTTATACGACTAATTATCGTCTAGTTTTATTTATTTTAAAAGTTTTCCGTGCGGTCCGTGTTTAACTTGTACGTCGCTATCGAGAAACTCGTTATAAGAGCCTTGCCATAAAGCTCACATGTTCCTTTCCTACATGGTGCATCAAACACGACTTTCGTTCGCGCCGAACCGACGACAACTACAGTAATGTGATAGTCAAACTTCCTGAAGAGGTTAATGGAATGGCTCCCCGTTCTAGTTTCACCGCGACGAAGGTCCGACAAAACCGTAAGTGAGACTATTATTCCCGGTTATTGGCGGCGAACGATAACGGTGATCAGAAAATAACTGCGACGAGATCTTGGAAACGCGTCACTTCCCAAACGAATTCCCAAGTTTCATTTATATTCCGCGCGCGTGTCACGGAGTTGAAACCAAAGAGTTTCGGAATGTCCCACCCACGGACGGACGCGTGGAAGTGTGGATTATGACACTCATAAAAATAAACGTAATAGTCTGACAGCAAACTATCTAGCGAACTCGCTCAAGTTATTCAGCCTGCGAAGCAGTAAATCGGAATTCTCATGCGTCTCCGGCTG